TTTTCAGAAAAATAAAAGAAAAACACTTTTGGAAATGGCATGAGACCAGCTATCTCGCCTGATTCCGAGATAGCTGGGAAAAAGAAAAATAAAAATAAAATAGGGCAGTTAAAGAAACTGCCCCACACTAAGGCTGTGGCTGTGATGCGGCCACAGTCAGCCCTGGATCTACGCTAGATCAAGGGCTCTCTGTGAGCCCGCGTTTTTGCCTGGGGGCTGGAGTGACGTCCTACTCCTCTCAGCCAATATAAAAAAGGCAGCTGCCTCCCAGCTGCCACACAAAGCACTCGTGCTGCCAGTGTGTGACGGGCACACTTGAGTGTTGTGGCTGCTGGAGCTGCTGCTGAGGCAACGTGAGGAGGAGCTGAAGGACTGCAGAGGAGCACCAGGGGGAGGACTAGGCAGCCATAGCCAAGGCAGGGAGCACTCTGCTCCCCTCCCCTTTGGCTGGTGCTGGTCCGACGGGACAGACCCAGTGACACAGCAGTACCACGGGAGGTGGCACAGGCTATTACTGCGGTAGTACGAGAGTGCTGCCGAAATTTTGCTGCGGCGGCACCAACTTTTTACTGCGGTAGTACGGAAGTGCTGCCGAAAGTCTGCAGCGGTGACACCGACTTTTTCAACGGTGGTGCGAGAGCGCTGCCGAATTTTTGGGGCAGCAGTTCTGGTGTTATCGACGGGGGTGCGGTAGCACTGTCGGAATCTTTTCAACGGTGACTCCGGTTTAACCAGCCGTGGTGCGGGAGCGCTGCAAAAATTTTATGGCGGCGAAGCGAGGTTACAGGCGGTAATATTTCTACATTGAGCGGCAGTTAAACCTTGGTATAGGGGAGGTGCCGCTGGAGTGGGGGATCAAAAGTGACATGAGTTTTGATGGCGTGGTGACGCGGTGGCAGTGAAAATTAGTGGCGACGATACTTATTGAAAGATAGTGAGGAGGCATTGTGGCAGGTGGTTGTGGTAAAAGGAGGAGTGTGGATTATTTGTCGACGACTAAAGACAACTATCACTGACAGAGGAGCATAATTTTTATACGGTTTTTCTTGAGTGGGCCGCTATTATCTTCAGTCCAACTTCACTCAAGGTCACTTAGTTGAATTGACTCAGTTCCCTTCACACCTGAGTGAACCCACACTTGCTTTGACCTGTTTTACTGAATGTTCATTGAAAAGGGAAAGAGAATGTGTGCATTTGCGTGTATGACAGGGAGTCTGACAATAGAAAAGGATTGCATGGTGGTCTGTGTGTCGTTGGGTTTTGACTGCAGGTACGGCAAATGGACTGGAATGGATAAGGGTGATGACGGTGAAAGAATGGTTGACTTTTCATATTTGTGCTTATGTTCTATTTATAAATATAAAAAAAAGAAGACGACGAGAAACGAAGCGAGCATAAGGAAGAGAAAATTCAACTTGGTTTAGACTTATTCCTGAGGATACCGATTTTTTCTCGAATAACCCTCTTCCATCTATGCCTGTCAGTCTGAATGATTCTATCTTTCTACGATTCCTCTTTCTTCGTCTAAGTTTACTTTGACGCTAGGCGGCAAGACTCTACTTGTCTCCCGTGTAGGTGTTTTTCCTTTTTTCTAGGAGGTATCTGGGGCGGGGGTTCGTTGCCTTAGGGGCCGGCCCTGTTATCGACTTAGAGTGGACCGCTTTGCGGGGGGGTACTATGCCGATTCGGTGGAGACGGCCCGACTTCTGAGATCCGAGCTTTGTACTCGGGCGAGGAGAAGGAGTATCCCAGACCACCTCTTAGGATAATGGAAAAGACATCCACACAGAAGAAAATTATTTCTTGACGCCTTGTGAAAAGGGAAAACTGCCTTAGCAATCCTGTTTAAGTGGTCACCCTAGGTACGACTAACGTATGGAGAGTTGGCGCCACAAGCAGCCCGACTCATGTTTCACTAGCTGAACGGAGTAATTTTAGATACTCCTGACGAGGTTGGTCGTGCCATAAGAAGCACGGGCCAGAAGAAAGACAAATGTTTTAGTGATACTTAGTTTTAACTTAATCACATTTGTCTTCTTTTTCTTTCAGATGGCTATGGGAACCACGAAACTATTTCTTTTCAACAATCATGATGCGGCAGTAGAGAGAGTTGAATTTCAAAGGCGTGATGGAGTGAGGGTAGAAAGAGTAGGCCGACTTACTTATAATCCATCAGAATTATATTCTGAGGAGGACGTTCCGCGATTTTGGGGTGGTAGTGCGCAAAGACCCCCTAGACGACTTGTTTTCAGGAGTGATAACGGCCTGGATATTCTTCATTACGAGTTCGCACCGCTATTGCCTGAGCGTTACTTCGTCAATATGAACCTGGTGGTGTTGCAGCCCTATGAAATCAACACACGAGTGCACGAAATCCCTGAAATAAGGTTGA